GCTGCCGATTCTGATTGGCAAGTCTTGTTTTCTAAAAAATAAATAAATTATGTTTTTTATTTTTTAATGAATGTAATAATGAGGTGGAAAATATAAAGTTTATTTTTTTATTTTTAATAATTTTTTAGTTGCCACGTCACTAAGTTAACGGTCAACTTTTAGAGTTGATTGCCACATCAGCAAAAATTAACGGAGTTGGACGGAGAGTGACCAAACATGAACGGTTTCAGTAAACTGAAGTACCACCAATGGATTTAAATATTTCGAGTGACCAAACTTGAACGTTTTTTGTAATCTCAGTGACCAACCATACAATTAACCCATTAATTATTCTAAATTGTACATTTGAATACGAATATCATATATATATTGATATCATATGATATGATGTATTTAAGTGCGTTTGAATTGTCATTATAGGTTAAATTTATGTACGAACTATTATTTTGGTGTAATGTTATATGTTATTATTCATCTGAAATTTGATATATAATAAATTTATGTATGAAAATTATAACTTTTTCGGGCTAAAACAGGTGACCCATTAACCCATGACTCACTAGCTCGTCCGAGTCCGGGTTGACCCGCGGGTTGACAACCTTGAGCATAATACAAATTTAGGTTTAAAGGGTCACCTTCTTTCTCCTCTGCAATCGAGGTGTTGATTGTCTGCTTCTTCTCTAAGGAGAGTTGTTGCCTTAATTCTTCTTCAATTGTTAAATGGGTTAATACCCTAGTTTGGTCCGAAGTTTGGCATAAGTGACCGTTCTGACCCCATTTTTCAAATAAGACATTTATAGCCTACTTTTGAAATCATTGGACAAATTTGGCCCAAAATTTTCTTTGACCGTTAATATTGATGGTCAAACACTATTCTGTTAGTGATTCAGAAAAAAAACCTTTGATGTGGCATGCCATATCATTAATTAATTGAAATTTAATAATTCAATTAAAATAAAAACTCCCAAAATTCCATTTTTCAAATAATATCACACTCTCTCTTTTCACCCAATCCGGCGTACGCCGACGACCATCCCCCATTTCAATTTGGCTCCTCCACCTTCAGACCAAATTTCTTTCTGGCTTCGCCAAATCTCTTTCGTCCTAACTATATTAAGAGCAGGACCAAATTTTCCATAACCAATTTATTCATTTACTTCCAAAACATGGCGACTCAAACTCAAGCGCTCACAAACTCCTGAAGCGCGTCGCCCCTACCCGTTTCAGACAAACTCGATCTCACCCACACTCGCCTCAGTGACCTCGTGAAACGCTCCGTCTCTCGCCTTATTGGCGCAGACATCAATCCTGATGACGTGGTCGCCCCAACACCGTCGAGGTATTATTACTTGTTTTGATTTCTGCCTCTCCTCCGTTTGCTTTTTCGATTGCGAATTTAGTTGGATTCTGGATAGTAAATTGCAGATTGGGGGAATTTTGAACTAGCCTGTTTGGCAGGCGAGAAAATGCTGGAGAAAATCGGTTGTTTCGTTTCTTAGGTATTTTTGTGATATGATTGCAGTTCGATGTGATGTTTCTGGCCATGATTCGAGCCAGAGCAACAGCGGCGCCGCTCAACGCCGCCTACACGGCGGGAGAATTCGCCGATTCGAAGCTCCAAATTGGTTGCTCACTTCGCGCGAGGGAAACGTGGTGGCCGAATCCGCCGCTTCGAATCTCCAAATTTACCACGCCAACTCCACTTTCTCCACAGAAGATTCTGAGGTCGCGCTCTCTCTTTCTCCTTCGTCTGAGTCCAGAACATCAAATCGGTCTACAAGCGAAGAAGGAGGGAGGCGCCTGCTGTTACGATGATGTTGGTTTAGTTTAGGGTTTGGATTTGGGGATTTGGAGATTTTCTTAATTTTTATTTTAATTGAATTATAAAATTAAATTGTTTAATGGTGTGACATGCTATATCAGTGGTTTTTTGCTGAGTCACTAACAGAATAACGTTTGACAGTCAATATTAACGGTCAAAGAAAATTTTGGGCCAAATTTGTCTAATAGTTTAAAAAATAGATCATAAATGTCTTATTTGAAAAATAGGGCGAGAACTGTCACTTACGGCAAACTTCGGGCCAAACTAGGATATTAAACCTTGTTAAATTGACCATGTGCAATTTAATTCTCTGGGCCCTCCCTGCTTGAACCGAATATAATACTCTGTTCTTCAATGTCAATTTCTTTATTCTTGGCAAGGGAAGCTGGTTCCTTAGAATTATTACCGATAGGCTCGCCCATCCCTTCTTTAATTTGTTGGGCCAGCTCCTTTCCTCTCTTAATTGCAGCATGGTGAGCATTAATGATAATGGAAGAGCCTCTGACATCAGTTGGACCTTGTTGTCGACGATGAGGTTGAGATGCGTCGGCGCCTTCCGCGATCCGGGCTTCTCCACCGGCGGATGATGGTTTTGGCTGTGGATTGGTCCTGGATAGAGTATCCTTCTTGTAGGTTGTTGTTGAAGAGCATTCTTGGTTGGTGTTTCCGGAGGGAGCAACAATTGTTGGTCTTTCGCTGGACTTGCATCCAGGGACCAAAGGAAGGTGAGGGTTCAGCTATGGAAGTTGGAGTAGTTGTTTTTGCTTCAGGAATTGGTGTAAAGCATAGTTGAGGTAGTTTTTCGTACATCGATCACTTGCTGCCAATATCCATCAAGCCAGAATCTTGGAACTAGTGGTTTGGACACATCTATTTCTACAGCAATTCGAGCCAACTTTCCTCTTTGAGTACTCAGGGACAGGGTTTTGCGGTCGATGCGGATTGTTCTTCCAACAATTCCTCTTTGGTTGTGGTAATACGGAATCGGCTATCCTGGGAATCTCACCCAAGCAACAATGCGAGCCGGCAGATTCGCTGTCAATCTGAAATCTTGATAACCCACGGTCCTTCTGTAAGCGAGGTGTAGTAATCTCTTTGGGTAGTAAGTTTCACGAGGGAGCAGTCTTGATCAACATCAAGAACATGGAGTTGGCCAGTTGGCTGGCTTCCACATTGCTTTGAGTCTGTCGCAGAGTAGAGGGTAACTGATCTTTCTCCCGAGCAAGCGCACGACCACTGTTTGCTTCGAACGATCGAGGTAGTCTTTTGGGTGTACAGTGATTTCAGAAGGATTACCTCCAAAATTGGATAACGTTGGATTTCTGGTAGGGTGCTCCGGTGGTCCGGTGGTCGTCCGGGTGGGATTGGATTGAGTGACTGCAAGTTTTGTGGATTCATAGCGAGAGCCCGTATTCAGCAGGATTGTTATGCATTGCCCAGCAAAACCTTTACCGGAAGTATATTGTTGGCCGGAGAGTTTGTAATTAAACTAATTCATAAAAATAAACAAAATCTCAAGACCGACCCTGACTACAATCCGACAATTTTATTGAATGAACATTAAAGAAGTTAAATAGATAGATGGTAGCCCACAAACTTGGACTACTAGTAACAAATTACACGAGCGAGTTCAATGCTGTTAACCAACTAACCCACCAGATACAGGACGTAAATGTAAACAAACAGAGCTACTGGATTGACACAGGAATACTGCATAGGACGCAGTATTGTTTATTGACAGACAGACAGACAGACAGACTTAGCAATGAAACGAAACGAAACGAAACGAAACTAACTCCAGGCTTCATTTGAACATGAGGGCTTGGTGCCACTCCAATCCTTTCCTGCAGCGGATAAGGATTTTTTTATTAATTATTTCATGCCCTTTCCAGCTTCTCCTAACCTCCGATTCGGTTTAATTTCATGCTTGTTATCTATTTTTATTAATAATTATTCTGAAGAAACTCCTCGATCGGCTGCATTCTCTGCAAAAAAGATAATTCAAAGGGCAACTCAACGCAATCACTGATTCCTAACGAGGGAGCAGCTCAAGGACAACTAGACAGCAAAAGCTGAACGGAAGATGTCCATCTGATCCGGTGGCAAACCCAGTCCGACCTCGATCCCACGGCTACCGTTTCTACAATCCGCCAGCGATATGCCACCCGTCCGATCTATCGACGTCACCTCCACGTACTTGGGCTTCCCCCACCCGAAATCGGCGCCGTACACGTGGAACCTCGGGGACCCAGCGATCCCGATAAACACGCCTCGACTGGCCTCCCTATCCTTGGCGAAGGTTGACACGTGGCGGTCTCCCCCAACAACCTGATCCTTCCCCTCCACGTGATCAATCATCTTGCTTATCCTCTCCGCAGCGAATCCAATCCCTCCCTCCGCCACCAGCGGTCTCACTTGTATCAGCTCGGGTCCGCTTAAGACGCAATTCCCTAGGTAGTTCGCCGGCAATGGTGGTTTCAGTCGGCCTCGGACGTCCGCCATGAAAGCGTAATGGACCACTGCTTCGTCGTCGTCGCTTCGGGCTCCCAGGCGTTTGGCTTTCACCAAGCACACCAAGGAATGGGCGAACGTAACGACAAAGCTTGACAGGCGAAGCTCATAATCAGTTCCGGACGGCGCCGTTTTAATCCTTTCCCTCAGCGTCTGGATTCGGTCGTGGGAGAGAAGAAATGTGGCCCGGACCAAGCCGGGCTCGGGAGCAGACGGCGGGGGCAGCTTCAAGCTTCTCGGGCCGGGCCAGGAGTTGTGGTAATGCAAGCCCATGCCTTTGGGCTCTGGTACGACGGACCGGTCCAGAAACGGTACGAGATCTTCTGGACAAGAGGTAACGCTGGATTTGGATAAGTGGGCCCAGGCCTTGAGGAAGAGAGTGGCGGATTTCCCATCGAGGACGCCGTGGTGGCTGGTTATTCCCACGCAAAATCCCTGGCCCGGGAAAAGCGTGAGCTGGAGCGCGATAACCGAGGCCTCCGAGTCGGAGGACGGCAGGACGGGGATGTAAGGGTGCGATTCGGCGGCGTCGCGGATCTGTCCGATGTCGGAGGCGAGGTGGTTGAAATCGGCGGCTGATTGGGCGACGGTGAGCGGGACGGCGGCGGAAGGGGAGTAGAGGAGGAAGGGGTTTGGCGAATTGGAAGGCCAGGTGAGGGAGGCGGCGATGGGGAGGAAGCGGGACAGAGCGGCGGCGAGGGAGCGCGTTAGGGTTGGGACGATGGAGGAGGTGAAGAAGGTGGCGGTGGAATTTTCGGGCGGGAGGGGATAGAAGAGGAGGCGCTCGACGGGCGGGAAGATGGACCAGGTGAAGTCGAAGCAGGTGAGCGGGAAAGTGACATCGTCGGAGCGCGGTGGCACGTCGGTGAAGGACGGGGAGATGTGGTGGAGATGTAATAGGGTGATTGGGTTTGGGGATTCAGCTTTTCCCATTATCAGGTAGAGTGAGAGGAAGTTGGATTGAGCTTAACACTCAAAACTATTTGACACTATTTTATACCCTGAAGTAAAGTTGTCAAACTGGTTTAAGTTACTGAGCCGACCAAGAAAGAGGTTTAACAATCCGATCAGGGTTCGACTGATTTAAATCATTTTAGACATTTTCTAAACATATATACAAATAAGATAGTAATTAAGAAATTAAATTACTGAAATGAAAATTATCTTACATGCATTTATTAAAAAATTATTTTCCACAAAATAAATCTAACTAACCATCACGACACACCCATTATCTCCCTTTCATCGTTCATCTTCCTCTCTTCCCCCTCTCTTTTTCTCCCTCTTTAGGGGTCAGATTGGGAGGCTTTTTGGAGATCGTTTTGATCTCGGCTTAGGTTGGACCGGGTCCAACCGGAGGTACGATAGAGGTCTAACAACCTTGCCGTCAAGGAACCCACTTGCATTGAGAAAATATCATGATTTTTCCCCCTCATATCGCCTCGTTGGGAACTCAGACTTCAGTTTTAACTGTTTGAGTATCAGTGAATTTGAATCCTTGTTGAATGATGATGGGTTTAATGTGAATCATATGTCCACCACTAGTATATAGGAATTCAGTGTAGACCCATATCATTTTTGTGGTGTTTGGTTTATCACGTGGCTGCATTTTTATTTCCATTACTGTAGTTCAATAATTGATGCCATCCAGTTTTTTGTTGCCATTCATTAATGATACCCTGCAATATTGGTGCGAGAAATTGCAGGTTACTGCTCTATATTTCTGAAGATTTCAAGTTTGACAACTCCAACGACACAGAATCGCAGACCAGTACGGTTTGCCATCTGCATTTTCATGGACGTTACAGCTTGGAAGAAGAAAAGAAAACAACGCCCGGCGAGCCGCATCATTTGAAGCCCAATACGCCCGAGGAGGAAAATGGTAGGGATTGTTAGGCACTAGCGGAAACATAGCAGAATTAAGAATCAAATTCAGAGAAATTTTATTATCACTCAAATCAGTAGCGGAGGGAGAGCTTAAGTACTGGTGTCCCAGGATTCCACTTGAAAATCTCGGTAGCAAAAAAATTCATTATGCATGTGGGTTTTAATGTGGGCTTAAGATTTAGGACCCATTACAATTTTTATTTATTTATTTATTCTATAGTCTAGGACCCCATCATTACGGTTCTCGTAGGCATCTCTCACAGAAAGGACACAAAGTTTACTTCAGATAAATTATTATTTTTAATATTAAAGATGAAATCATTATAATAAGCTTAATTTCATAAATCCAATCCAAAAAGGTTGATGGCATTCTACCATAACTAACTCGCTCCATGTATCCTCACAAAAAAGGGTGAAATCATAGACTCAACCTTCTTTGTCATTCCAACGATACTCATCATTCCATTCTCAACTTGTTTATGCAGTTTCATTTTAAAATCAAGAAACAAGGTATTGATGTTTCTAAAATCAATGATCAATATGTTTTTCTAAAAGGTTATGCGCCAGGCTAACAAGTTACAAATCTAAATTACTTTGTAGTTTGAGTCCTTTATATGGTTAAAATTATGCAATTGTAAGTGCTTTAATGTGGCTAATTCTCAACTAGTATATATTATGAATCGTTTATATAGTTACAGATTAACTTTCTTCGCTTTCAACTAGTTTTATTTATTCCGAATATGCAAAAAAATGAGAAGTTCAAAGGCTTGAACGGAATGAATAAGTTGGCCATACGGATGGTGGAAAGTGATAAGCATAATTATTATACATTAGTTTATTTGCTTATTAAACTTATGCTTATTTTGTTTATTCCAACTAAAATCACTGAAAAGTCATTGTAACTTAGGAGTTACATAAAAAAAACAAGCTTCCAATCCGAATAAGTGAAGAGTAGCATAATAATTTCTTGGTAGGATATAGAGAAAAGAATGTGCTCAATAATATAGAACACGAATGTGTTTACAATGTTTTCAAAATATAAAATCATGTTGCGACTCATTCTAGAAACAAACAAGTGTGTTGTATTAGTAAAGCATTGAAATCATATGTTTCATTCGTGCATTTTTTTTTTTAAATTTAGCTTTATATTATTGATTTGTTTAAAGGACCTCATTCGACTCAAAGTCTGACTACGCTACTAACTCAAATTATTTTGTAAACACTCACTGTGTAACTTTTCTGATAAATGTGAACATTTATTAGAAAGCAATGAAGAAGTTTGTACTTTGTACATCAAAGGGAACAGGGGGGAAAAGGAAAGGGCACTCATATAATATAACCAGCCAGCTAGAAGAAGAAGAAGAAAAGACGGAGCACAACAGACAAAACAAGGACAGAGAAAACACCCACAAATCACATGGGGGGGGCCTAAATCAAGATTGATGAGCCACAACACAAGTTTTCTGTAGTACCATTCTTCGCTTTCACTTTTACTGATCAGACCTGCTACACCAAGCCAATGGAACTGCTGGACCGTGAGCATGAAACAAGTATCGATTGGACCATTTATGCCACATGGTTGATCTGTCGTTTGACCAAGCCTTCACAATTCTATCTTGATGCAAACTGAGTTATCGAAAGTTTCAGGCATAACGATTAGAGCATCCATATCAGTGCAATTGCAAAGTCAATTGTATACGTGGTTTCTACTTTTAGTAATCTAATTCGTTGGTTTATGGCGGGCACTCCCGCTCTAGAGCGTTGAAACGCGATTCCTAGGTAAAGCGTAGAAAGCTCCCGAATTATATACACCGAGAGCGCACTGAGAGCGTGCATCAACTATTTGAGAAGTAATGATTACTTGGTGAAACTTGAAAATAAGAGTAACCATTTGGAAAGGAAACCATTATGATCTTGTGGAAGTCACAGACATAATCTCTTATATATGGGAAGAGATCGAAACAACCACTAGTTTCAGAAGAAAATAAAAAACAAAACAGCTACTGATAGATGACTAGCAGGAGGAGAGTTGAGAGATGTTGCGACATATTCAGGGTGACTTCTTTGGCATGCATCAATGACTCTACTCTCTGTCGGGATTATACGATAATTGAGAAAAGAGCAACACAGACAGAGTAATTAGTAGCGATAATCAAAATGGAGATGGAGAAGGCAGGTATATAGAATGGCGTATGCGATTGACATTGAGAAGATAGAGAGAAATGAAATGAGAAGCTGTTACTGGCTTTGACACTTTCGAATTTGTGGTTCTCCTTCTTTGTAATCTTATGCGTAATTTTATTTACGTTATTTTAATGTTGGATAATTTCATGGCATTTGTACTGTATGTCGCTCGCTTGGTGCCAGTAAAGTAACACTGTTTTTTTTTTTTAACTGACGAAGAGAAAACATTTCATTTGTCTATTTAATTCTTTCAAAAAAGTAATAAAAGAAAGAGCCAAATAAATATTTAAACCTAATGTATGCTAAAAATTAAATAAAGCAATGCTATCTTTGGAGTTTGAATCATGGAGGAGAAGTACAAGCTCACTCTTGTTGTAAAGAGAAAATTTAAGGTACTAACTGTATAATTGATATTTTTTAACAAATAAAATTTTATATTATTATGTGTTTTAATATATGTAGACCTGGCAATCGGGTCGGGTTGGGTAATTTCGAGTTGGGAATCTCGGGTTACGGGTCTTCACGGGTCGGGTTATGATGGGTTTGTTGATTTCGGGTCAAATATTGACCCAACCCATTGGGTTTCGGGTCGGGTTTCGGGTTATTTCGGGTCATGAGCGTTCTCAGAAACAATATCAAACATGCTTCATAAATTTTTAAAGAACATAAATTTTTACGTATGTGCGACAATAATTTGCCTAGCACATATCAATTAACAAATGCTCAACTCCTTCCATCCTAATGAAAAGAAATACAAATTGCACAAATTGTCAAAAAACAATGACAATTTGTTTTTTCTCACCGGGTCAGGGTCGACCCGCGAGTTGACAACTTTGGTTAAGATCTACACAACGATATTCATTTCATTATATTTTAAGCAAATAAATAATTATTTTTTCAAAACACGTGTTTGTTGCAGTATTATCACTGTCATATTATGATTTTACCAATATTGTAAGATAAAATGCATATCATACTACTACGATATAATGATGTATAATGATAATATGATGATATGATAGTGAGATGATGTCATCAAATTATTTTCTTGAACATAAAACTTCATACCAACAATATATTCTATCATATCATGATATTATCACAACACCATAGTGATATTACTATAAAACTATATGATTTGGTATCATAACCCAAACCTTAGAATATTTGTATGTGGCCCGGTAGAGCAAGTGGGTTGAGGATTAATGGTCCAACCGTTTTAGCTCGATTTTGCCCGGATATATGAAACAATTCATTATATTGTTCATATATTAATAAATTATACCAAATCTCATCTTACATACGAGTAATAACATATAACATTACACAAAAATAGCATGTCGTACTTAGACATATAGTGAAAATTCACACACACTTATATAACATTAATATTCAAATGCTCAACTTAGAATTCCAAAGATTGAGTTAGGCGAAAAGGAAAACTGGAAAATTGACGCATTTCGTAAACCAAAGAAAGAACGACACAGTTTGACCTCCAAACTGGCACCTTGTACCGGTCGGCCCGATGAATATGTGCGGCCCATTTTTCTCATCGGGTCAGGGTCAAGGTCAAAATGAATCAACCGAATGGTCACTCGCAGATTGACAACATTGCTGATATAAGAAAATATTTTATGTAGTTTGTTTGAAGAAAATAATTTTACGTGAGATAAGGGAAAGGGACAAGTGCTTAAAGTTATTCTGATATAATGAAGAAACTAAAATTTTATAAATAATTTTCTTATTTATCCATAGAACAGGTTTGGGTGAAATAAAAGATTGTTGTGCAGTGGTTCGGGCTGGTTTGGAAGGGAGGTATCCCTAAGAATCCAGTGTTAAACTGGCTTGTTATGATTGATAGGGTTAATACTTTAGATAAAGTTAGAAGATGGAACCCTACTGTCTGTATTGTATGTCCTCTATGTGGTAGTTCAGAGGAAACAAGGGAACATATATTCTTTTTGTGTGAATATGTACAGGAAGTTTGGAATACAATCTTCTCTAGTTCTTGGCAGCTCCCTTTGCCAAGCTCGATGAATCAAGCAGTGTTGTAGGCAGTGCAGAAGCTGGGGAAGTGCAGAGTTGGCAGGATTTGTGGTGCTTGGTAGTAAGTGAAGTGTGGAGAGAGCGCTGCCGCAGGTTATATGGCCACAAGAGTCTAACAGTAGCAAGATTGGTTCAGAAGACGCAACAAGTCATGGAAGCAAAAGTGCAAGGGGGATCAGAATGTTGCCAACTCTCCTGCTGCTCGACAATTGTGGTATACAGGGAGTAGTTAGATGTAAATGAATGTATAGTTTCCTATAGTTTGTTTGTTAAGACTGATAGGACACAAAGTCTTTGCTTGTAAACTCTGATCGTATTTGATGAATAAAACCACCCATTCATCGGAAGAAGAAAAAAAACGATATGAGTCCCGTCAATTATTAAAGACTTGGAACCATGGAGAGGAGATTTTTTCACTGCTAATTTTGATGAATTGGTTTTCTTTCTCCAAATTAAAACTGAAGGATGAGAACAAACATGCAGTTACTCAGTTGGAATGAATTTTCACACGTTCATAAGGTTTTTCCACGTCCCTGCAGCGCGGTCAGGAAATTAATTAGCCATTACTAAGATGTTAGCCGTGCTTAGTTGGGCATTAGTTTGATTGGTGCGTACATGCGTTGACTTCACTTTCATCAATATCAATCGACGACTGACTTTCACTTGTATCCTTGACTTCTGCGTACATGCGTTGACTTCTAACCCAAATTTGATCGAATATTAATGATGCAGCTGCGGGGAAGATGAGTCCGTTATATATGCGCAAGAATTGCTTTACAAAAGCAATATAATCATCCAGAGAGATCAGAGGGAATAATACCCACGTATATAATAATAAAATAAGTATGGCCGCCATGAATATTAAAGCGCCGCCGCGGCTAGTTTCCTACGCTCTGCTATTATTTTTAATCTTCCTCGTCTTCTTCGTAGTAACGGTGGAGCCAGCCAGAAGTATGTTACTTAATCTCCCCTCCCTCCCCAGTTACTTAATCTTTTTACAGTTTATATATTTAGATCATCATGATTAATGTATTGCGACGTTGTCATGTCTTCCGCACTCGTGAATCTTTTACAGATTATGAAGGGAAGAAGAAAGCATTTTGGGAATTGGCGGTGCTTAAGATGGAGGTGTCACGACCTTACTCTCGATCGTGCGGCCCTAGCTCTCAATTCCGTTAGAGCGCTAGGCAGCCTTTCTCTCAACTCACTTGAAAGCAAAGAACAAGAACTCAAGACAAAGGATTGGGAGAACTCTCTAGTGTGTATTACTCTAAAAAATGATGGAATGAGTTACAAGTGAGGGAGATGGCTCCTTATATAGGCCTCTCCTCATACAAGGCATCAATGCCCCTCATAATGTCCCTCTACTACATCAATACACCCATTAAGTCCCCCCATTATGCACTCTATAAATACTACCATAATGTAGCTAATAAGTGCACCATTAAGCTCTCTATTAAGGTGGAGAATCCTAGGAGCATCTCTATGCTACTAGTCTTCCATGCATGACACATGTGCAGCCTTGTTGTCACCTTGTTGGCGCCATGTCATCGGCCACATGTGACATCCTCCCCCACCTATGCTCGCGACGCCCTCGTCGCGTCCTCTTGATGGAATGCCTCGATCAAGTCCTTGTTCTTCCAAAGCGTGAGCTCTTTCTCCCAAGTTGCTTCACTTTCCGGAAGGTTGCGCCACTTGACCAAGTACTCCACAAAGCTTGGATGTACGCCACGACGAGGAATGACACGACGCGCCATGACTTCTTCAACTTCATGGTCGTGTGTCTTGGTGATGAGTGTTGGAGCGCGTTGCGACTCTCTTCGTTGCTCATCATCCTTGTCTTCGTGGAAAGGCTTGAGTTGGCTCACATGAAAGACCGGATGGATCTCCAAGTGCGTCGGCAACTCAACCTTGTATGCCACCGCGCCAATCCTCTTCACGATGGGGAATGGCCCTTCATAGCGGCGAAGCAGTCCCTTGTGCACATTCTTGAGATGCTTGAAGCGATGAGGGTAGAACTTGATCATCACCATGTCTCCCTCTTCGAATTCCAAGTGCCGCCTCTTCTTGTCCGCCCATTTCTTCATCTTCTTACTAGCGCGGGCTAAGTAAGACTTGGCCATCTCCATCTTCTCGTGCCAGCCTTTAGCGAACTTGTAGGCTGCCGGACTGTTGCCTCTATACCCCGTTGCCACCGTCGTAGGTGTCAAAGGTTGCTGCCCCGTCGCCAACTCAAATGGACTCGTGTTGGTCGACTCGCTGCGGTGCAAGTTGTAGGAGAATTGTGCCGTATCCATCAACTTCACCCAGTCTCGTTGGTTTGCACTTACGTAGTGGCGCAAGTACACTTCCAACAAGGCATTCACCCGCTCCGTCTGTCCGTCGCTTTGAGGATGAAATGTCGTCGAGAAGTTCAAGTCTGAGCCCATGATCTTGAACAATTCTCGCCAAAATCTGCCCGTGAAGCGCCCATCTCTGTCGCTCACGATATTGCTAGGAACGCCTCAATACTTGACCACGTTCTTGAAGAATAGTCGCGCCGCATCCTCTGCCGTCATGTCTTTTGGGCCGGGGACGAACACTCCATACTTCGAAAACCGGTCCACAACAACCATGATGCAACCGCATCCATCGACTTTGGGAAGTCCGATGATGAAATCCATGCTTACACTCTCCCATGGTCGTTGAGGTGTGGGCAAGGGCTCTAGCAAGCCTGCCGGGCTTCTCTGCTCCATCTTGTCTTGTTGGCACACAAGACAATTCTTCACATACATCTCCACGTCGCCTCTCATACGCGGCCAGAAGTATGCTTCTTCGATGAGCGCTTGCGTTCTCTCGATGCCGGGATGGCCCGCCCACTTGGAGTCATGGCACTCCTTCATGATCTCTTTCCTCAAGTTGGCCCACCTTGGCACGAACACTCGCTCTCCCTTGGTCATGATGAGCCCATCCTTCATCCAAAACCGTCGAGTCTTGCCTTGCTCGATGTACTTGGCCACGATTTTGGCGAAGGGGTCATGGCCAAGGCCTTCAACGATCCGCTCCTTCAAAGGAAACATGGGCTGGCTGACGCTTGCGGCTGCACTCTTGCGGCTAAGAGCATCGGCAACGGAATTCGCCTTGCCTGGGTTGTACTCCATGACAAAATCGAACTCGGCCAAAAAGTCTTGCCACCTTGCTTGCTTGGGGGTGAGCTTCTTCTGCGTCAGAAAGTAGCTCGTTGCCACGTTGTCCGTCTTCACTACGAACTTTGACCCCAACAAGTAGTGCCTCCATGTGCGCAAGCAATGCACCACGGCCGTCATCTCCTTCTCTTGAACGGTGTATCGCCTCTCCGTCTCGCTAAGCTTCCGACTCTCGAAGGCAATGGGATGCCCATCTTGCATCAACACTCCTCCAATCGCAAAGTCGGATGCATCGGTCTGCACTTCGTAGGCCAACGTTGGGTTGGGGAGCACGAGCACGGCCTCCTTCACCACCGCTTGCTTCAAGGCCTCGAATGCTTCTTGGCACCTTTCCGACCAATCCCACGCCTTGTTCTTCTTCAAAAGATCCGTCAAGGGTGCTGCAATGTTGGAGTAGCCCTTGATAAACCTCCGATAGTAGTTGGCAAGGCCGAGGAATGACCGCAACTCTGGCACCTTCGTCGGCGGCTCCCATTCTTGGATTGCCTGCACCTTTGCTCCATCCATCTTCAACTTGCCTCCACCAATGATGTGCCCCAAGAATGGAACCTCCGTGGCGGCAAATGTGCACTTCTCCCTCTTGACGTACAACTCGTTGTCGCGAAGGACTTGGAAGACTTGGCGTAGGTGCTCGGCATGCTCGTCGAGTGTTTTGCTATACACGACGATGTCATCCAAGTAGACCACGACAAACCGGTCCAAGAATGGCTCGAACACTTGATTCATCAAAGTGCAAAACGTGGCTGGTGCGTTGGTGAGACCGAATGGCATCACAAGAAACTCGTAAGAGCCATACCTCGTCACACAAGCTGTCTTTGGCTCGTCGCCCTCTGCTATCCGCACTTGATAGTAGCCCGAGCGAAGATCAAGCTTGGTGAACCACATCGCATCTCCAAGCTGGTCGAACAGATCGCCAATGTTGGGAATCGGCCACTTGTTCTTCACCGTCAACTTGTTGATGGCTCTATAGTCGATGCACATGCGCAACGACCCTTCCTTCTTCTTTTGGAACAGCACTGGTGCTCCAAAAGGTGACTTCGATGGCCGCATGTAGCCTGCGTCCACCAAGTCCTTGAGCTGCCTCCGCAACTCCTCTAACTCTGGTGGCGACATGCGGTATGGTGCTCGCGAAGGGGGCTTCGCTCCTGGCTCCAACTCGATCTTGTGGTCCACCTCTCTTCTTGGTGGCAACTTCTTGGGCAACTCCGATGGCATCACGTCGTCGAACTCTTCGAGGACGCCTTCGATGATGGGAGTTGTGATTCCCGCTGAGCCTCCTTCTTCCTCCATCTTCAAGGACACAAGAAAGGTTGGTTCATTCTTCTTGAACCCCTTCAACACTTGCATGGCCGATAAAGCACTATGGGGGCCATCTTCTCGCAAGAGATGGATCGTGTGAAACTCCCCCTCCTTCTCCAAGCACATCGTGTTGGAGTTGGGCTTCAAGAGCACTCCCTCCTTGTCGAGGAAGTTGATGCCGAGGATGACTGGGTGATCGTCCATGGTGACGACGGAAAAGTCGATGAGACCTTCCCACTCGTCGAGCTTCATTGGCACGTTGCGAGCAACTCCATGGATTGGGATGGACTCCGAATTGATCGTCTTGAGCCTCCCTTGCCCCTTCTCGTAAGCAATACCCAGCCGGTTTGCCTCCTCGATGCGAAGGAAGTTGTCCGTGGCACCGGTATCCACCAAGGCTTTTGACTCGCCTTGCATGAATTGCGCCAGAACATAGCACCTCCCACGCTTGCTCTCCTTGACGTCGGTCTTTGCCGCGCCAAGCTTGCGGATTGAGCCAATCTTGGCCTCCGCCGCCTTGGGCTCCTCTTCTTGAGCTTCCATGGCTGCCAATCTCGCCTTCCTTGGGCAATCTCGCACTCGATGTGGTCCATCGCAAAGGAAGCAAGACATGGGTTTTGGCTCGTACTTACCCCCTTTGCTCGAACCGCCTTGGTGTTGTTGAGCGCGAGTGCCCTCCTTGAAAGGCTTCTGCTGTTCTCCACCCTTGTTGGGCTTCGAACTCTTCTCTTTGCCGCTGCTCTCTTGCCTTTTGTACTCGACAAAAGACTCCGCCGTGGCCATGGCAGTTGTAAGGTCTTGCACTCCTCGACGTTGCATCTCCATCTTGGCCCATGGTTGCAGCCCATCAAGAAAGCCGTGCATGGCCTCCTTGTCTGTGATGTCCGGGATCTCTAGAAGCAGCTCCGAGAATTCTTTCACGTATTCTCGAACTCCACCCCTCTGGGTGAGTCTTCTCAACTTCGAACGGGCTTCAAATTCCACGTTCTCCGGGTAAAACTGCCTCTTGATTTCTCTCTTGAAATCTTCCCACGTTACCATCACACAAGTACCTCTTTCGACGTCCGCTTCACGTCGCCTCCACCACACCATTGCAACATCGACCAAGTATAGTGGAGCGGTACGAAGTTTTACCTCATCCTCTTGGATGCCGGATGCCTTGAAGTATTGCTCAAGACTCCAAAGGAAGTTCTCTAACTCCCTCGCGTTCCTTGAACCTCCGAAGTTCTTCGGTCTTGGAACATCAGCACGTGGGACGGATTGCACCGGGGCTGGTCCGCTAGCCATGGCTCTCTTCACGAGAGTGACCTCACTCTTGAGGTCTGCAATCTCCTCCTTCACGCCGACCAGCTCAGCCTGGACTTGCTCTTTCACAACTTCAAGGGCGTTGTTCATGGAGGCGGTGATGGTGTTGTTGATGAGGGCCACAAGCTCTTCCCGCATCCCATCGTGGTTGATCTCCAAGCTTGTCAACCGCCCAGCCATTCCTTGAACATCGCCTTGGACTTGGGCGAAGTTACCTCCCAAGTCCTCGATGGCAGTGATGTCTTCCGCCAACTTCACTTCCACTCGAGAAACTCGCCTCTCTAGCGCCGCCATAGGATCACGAGTGCTCGACTTGTCACCCTTTGGCTTGGGATGCTTGGTTGAATCCCTTCCGCGCTTCTCGTCGGCGGTAACGCCGCTGTCTGATCCCGACATTTTTGGTGAGGTTCTTCCTTTCCTTCTGGCTCTAGGTTCAACTTTGCTTGCACAAAGCCGAACCAGGCTCTGATACCACTTGTCACGACCTTACTCTCGATCGTGCGGCCCTAGCTCTCAATTCCGTTAGAGCGCTAGGCAGCCTTTCTCTCAACTCACTTGAAAGCAAAGAACAAGAACTCAAGACAAAGGATTGGGAGAACTCTCTAG